GTTATGGATAGTTCGACGGGGTACAAATTTGATAATTACATAATATTTTTCGATTGGAACGCGACACTCGCCTCGGAGCTTCGTGTTTCATTACGCATTGTGTAACGCAAACCGTTTTCAATCAGACCTTTACGTTGTTAGGCGGCCTAATATAAATTTAAATATTTATATATGTGAATGTAGTCCATCACGCGTGTGTTATGTACATCGCGGGCAAATGCGTATTTCAAAGGTGAAAAGTATGTTATCGGCGTAGCTCGCACACGCGCTCGTATCGAATTCGATGTCATTCGATTCGTCCCCGGGCCTCGACCTCAAGGGTTAACACCGCCGCGCGTGCATACGCTCATTTGTCTGCACAGGACACGGGTGCTTCGTGGGATGCATGTAAATTCCGCCAAAAAAAAAAAAAAAATAATAATAATAGAGGTGAATATTGATAGTCAATAAACACATCCTATATATAACGTATAAGTTTACTTCAGAATTTAAAATTGTCTAATACTAAAAGTATATTATTTCCACGTTCCGATTTTATAAATTCAGCCATTATGGCATATAAGCGTATAAGACTCTAGGACGTGTTCTGAACACAATTTATAATATTTCTATCTGATATTTCCAATTATTAGATCCACAATATGTGGCAAAGCTGATAGGATATGACATGATCGACAATTGTTCCGTGTTCGTTCGAACATGTTGTGACTTTCGAATACAAAAACCACGTCGCGTCGCGAACCGTCCCCGGTCACGTCGGTCAGTTACGGAACGATTAGTTTAAAAATATTTATTTTTCTGGACGGAATTCACATGTACCTTTTTTACTTGAATATTTTCCCGGGTGGAATTTACCATAGACGTTATTTTTACCTATTGATTTCGGGCGGAATTTATAATACCCCGTTTCACGGATCGCGCGTCATCGGCATCATTCGAATACGGGCTACCAGATTATTTTCGTTATCATCGATACAATAATATGGATAAAACGCGATTCCGTACGTTCGTTATCGGTGATACCCTTTTCAGCTACACGATTCCGTATGATTTTACCTGATTTTTAATTTCACGACTGCGTACGAAGTTTTAACGTTGATACCAATTTTCATGCCGTCATTAGTGGATACCACAATCGGATCAATTCATCTGATCGTATACCTAATCTTATGTTTGACGAAAAAGAACAATGCAAGTATCAAATGTATAAAAACAAAAATTTTCATTTAATTTTTAAATTAATTTTGCCTCCCCTCCTCCCCTAAGAAAATGTCTGGAGACGACTATTGTACGAACGAAACCCATGCGCTATGTCTTGTCGGTTAGTTCCAACGGAACACTTATACGTTCGTTAATAGAAACGTTTAACAGAAAAAAAAACATAACAACCGATGAACCATCACATGTATTGAGTTATAATAAAGACACGGTGTTAAGTTTGATTATTTGTATAAAAATGGTCGTCCATTGCTTGTACTCGACTGCCGGAGCTATCTCGGTAAACCGATGGCGACGGCTATCGACGTACTGCAACTCAGCATTTTGGTACTTACGAACTAACAAGCGATTCGCTTTATGATAATAAAGGGTTCTTAACACGTGCGTCGATCGCTCGATCGATTCTCTTCTTGGACGATCACGAGACCAGTCTGAACTGAAAGCCGTGAACGTGTCGGTTTTACGCGTTGTTTTTTCTTCGCGCACTTTGCGCCCATCGGTGCGCAATCCGGGGGCATAAAATATAATCGTGCGTGCACCCAGACACCTCTTCCCACGACCGAACGTTTACGGTGACTATAGCTTGAAGTGGTCGGGTCTACCGGCCATGTACCGTCGTTATCCGTGCGTTCGGGTGTGCCAGTCTGTACGTGTGTGTTTGGGTATGTGATAAAAATAAAAACGGTAACAATAAATCGTTTAACAACTGTGTAGTTTAATAGTATAATTACGGTTGGACGATAAATATCAATATATTCGGCCCTTTTGGCCCAACAGCGATAAAAATAATAACAATAATAATAAAAAAATCACAGGTTTTCGGTGCGCAGCATGGACAGCTGCAACTATCCACCCTGAATGATCAAAAAAAAAAATAAATAAATAACATATAAGATTAACACGTCCGGTAAATAACGCGATAAATAATAACCGTAATCGATGGCCGTCGTATGTGTACGGAAAAGTTTACGAGTATACAGAATAACAAATACATATCGATTCAAGCCAATTAATAACGCCGAAAGACATATTGTAATAATTCACAACACGTGTTGTAGCACAGACGGTTGACACGACACACGACATCGTTCGTGTCACAGCTGACAAAATTATGCAGTTTTAAAACGGCCAATTGATTATGTAATAATTGATAAACGATAATAATTCACAATGCAAATATTGAAATAAACCTGTTAACACGGTGCTTGTGTATTGCGATTAGCGCGGAAGAAGCGTGGAGGAATTGGCGATTATTTGCTAGTATTATTATTATTTTGATTTAAACCGTCGTCGACACGTATTTTTAAGCACTGTAAATTATTTAAAATTTATTGCACCGAAAGTCTCATTCGGGTTAGGTATATCATACATCAAGTATATCATTCGGTCGGAATTCGTACCCGAACAGCACTTAAGGTTATTTTTTGACTTTCTGAGTGGTTTTTCTAATATTCTTACGAGAAATTGAACATAAAAATCCTTGAAAGTAAACATAACATTACACCTTGCCTAAGCGTTGTAGGCGGGATTGAGTTTAAAATATTCGAGTTTTTAATGTACCAGATATTATACGATGTATCACGGATTGTAAACTTCGGCTATGTTTTTACACCGAAATGTACGCACGTAAAGTTAACTTTACCTTTGACGTCCCTCTAGAAATCATCTAACTAACTTGCCCATGCGCAATCATAACGTAATAGCATTACACCTTTACTTATTTTCCGTATAAAAGTAACGAATTATGAAACAAAAGTTTAAAAAAAAAGTTCATCGTTTTTAAAGTTCACAGACATTTTGAGAAGTTTACTGCCGCTTTTCATACATCATAATTCTACCGTCGTTGGTAAAATATAAAATGTTTGAAACTTTATTTAATACTTAATGAACTCACTAATACGCTGCACATGTTTATCTTAATATGATATGTTATAACGAGTGCATAGTTAATAATTTTATAAAAAAAAGTTTTGACACCCCTGATAGCGATTTGCACGGTCTGATCTAGATCGGTTTGAATCGGACCGGACCGGACTATGGTCCAATCATTTTCGGTCTTAATATTTTTTAATTTAATGTGGTCCGGTCCCCTTGTCTACAAAAATAAATCAAGTAAATAAAGTCCAGTCTGATCCGTCCATCTTCAGTTCAATAAAATTATCTTAATATAGAACAACTGTTTAATATGATTTTACTTGTATACATTTCATAATAAAATAATATCCAACAATGTGTTATTTTAAATCAGAATATATTGTTTTGGAACACCAAAATAGTTCGTCACGTTTCTTTATGGTTTTATTGATGACATAATATGTATTTATTATAAAATATAAATCCAGAAATAGAATTCGAGTTAATGTTTGTGAATTATCTTGTCTGACAACTATATTATTTCCAAACGTATACAGAATATATTGTGGACAATTTTATAATTATATGGTTTTATATTTTATTTTGAACATTTTACGTCATTTGGCATTATTTATACGGTCCGTTTTTGGTATTTTCTATTACATTCTAAATGATACGGCCCGGTCCAGTCTGGTTTCATCATTTATTTCATCGGTCAGGTCTCTGGTCTTGGTATTACAATATATCAGTCCGGTCCGGTCTTTATAAAAACGGACCATGCTATGCTCTAGTCTCAGCACTGCGAAAAAGAGCAACTGAGACAATCTGCCTCTGTTCCTCTAACACCCACTCCACAACACGCTTGTTCTCTTTGGGAACAAATGCGATTACATTTGGACCTATGTTGTCGGATCGATTTGAATAACACGCATATACATCGGGTGTTGCGCCCCACTACGCATTAATCCGTTTTTGTTTTTACAACTGAAAACAGTGGAGCGATTAAAATCGGTGTTTTTTTTTCCTCCCCAAACGTTTTGGATTGTTCAAAAACCCCCAACTCCACTGTAACCGTGTTGATGACGTGCTTTTATGGCCCGTTTAAGAACTATTATTGCGTTGTCGGCAACACGCGATATTAGTATACATTTAGTTTTTTTAAAAATGTTTTCGAGCTTTGCGATTTTTCGACGATAAGTTCTAAAGTATACATTTAATTATCCGCAACAGCAGCAGAAAAAAAGTGCGTGAATTCATCGCCGGTTCTTTCAGTCCTCGCGTGCGTGGATTTTACGGGTTGTAAAAAAAAAACTGATAAGGATAATACATCCCCATGTCTTACACATTGTTTAATAAGAATATAACAATTAAATCCGAACGTTTTAAAAATTCGTAAAAAAAAAAAAAAAGAATTAAATACTTTCAATGTATCTTTAGAATCAAAACTTGTCGTTAAAACGTCAATACGAAAACAAATTGTTTTCGTTTTTAACAGTTTCCTAGTTTACTTTGTGTTATTTTATAGATTTTTTTTTTAACAGAAAGTACTCAAAATGAATGACGACGAACCGTCACGATTCGTTTGGCTTCGCCCAGCACAAAGTTGATTTATGAATTTAACACTTGAATGCAGCGTGAAAAACAATTTTTATTTCGTCCAAATCATCTGTCGTGTTCGAAATGTTAAATAATTTTAAATACTTCACGTCGACGGCTTATAAATAATTTTGCCGAACGCGATAAAGCTTCACTACCAGATGATATTTTATAACGTACGGATTGAGTTTAAAACAATTGAACCGTTTTATTTATCGACTTTGCCCGACGCGACATCGGAATCGGAACGCGTCGACACGAAATTAATGACAACGGAAATTACGAAAAGCCGTCGCGTGCCGTTTTCTGAGGCAATTGTTTATTTTTTGCAGTTTCCGGTTGAGTTTCAAGAGAAAAGAACGAGGCGGCGGTTCGAGCGGTAGTGTTTACGGATGCCGGGAGCACCGGGATAGCATTTCGGCCGTTCCCGCACGGTTCATCCAAGCGACCAGCGTGCGCAGAGAGACACTAAATCCGAAATGGGGTGAAAGTTTCATGTTGTGAGTGTAAAAACGTTAAAAATGCACATGCCCACCTTGTTCGCACGTGATTCTAAATGTTTGTTTGTGTTTCCCGTAGCGATATCGATGACGTGACCAGTGACATCTTACACCTGGACATTTGGTAAGACGATAAAATGTTGTAACATATGAACTAACACGACTCCGTTCGTGTTTTTTTCGATCTATACATTTTAAATTTAAACGAGGAAAATGTATGACCACGACGATGTAATACCGATCTTTATTACATCGTAACCGTCCTCCTCTTAATAGCCACTGTGTATTAATTAACACGGGTGGAGAGGGCGTGAAAATGGTACAGAGTAATGGGCGTATCCTAGTTGGGTCCCAAATAATATTTATTATAAAGATAAACAACTAATCGGGACCGATTATAAAAACCAAAACGTACTAGTTCGGTCCAACAGTTTCCATAATAAAAACTGTAACTTACAAGTATCCATATACTTGATAATATTAAAAAATTATTAAATTTGAATTTGTTAAATCTCTATGGTTAAGATTTTTACCAATTATGTAAATTTTTTAATATTTTAATCATTCATTTTATTTATTTATCATGTACCAGTGTTCTAATATACAGATCACTGACAGTCCTAAGTCTATACAATAAGAAAGAACATTTTTTTTTTTTTTGTATAGACCTATTAGAACTAATAGGTTCATTATGCTCCCTAAATAGTATCCTGGGCATAATCCCGTTGATTAACAACATCAATGTTCTGAATATGAACTCTGTAAGTCGGATTTTTATAAACAACGTTGTGTACATTATCGCCGTTACGCGTCATTGCCTTATCATATAGTGTAACTCGGATCGTTAACGTTAACTTGTCTACGACCGAATGTGTAGGGACCACGACGACGAATCGTCTGTATTGGACGCGGTTAGCAAACTGAACGAAGTGAGAGGCGTCAAAGGTCTGGGAAGGTTTTTCAAACAGATCGCTCAAAGCGCCAGGTCCGGTAGCCAGGACGATTTTTTGGGATGCATAAACATACTCATCCAAGTAAGTCTTAGATCCTAAGACCCTAAACACACTGGAACAAAACCGTTATTTTTTTATCGTGCCTTGGCTATGAACTTTAGGACGTGCCTTCCACCGGTCTCGACAAGTGGTATCAGTTGGAGGCTAGGTCGCAGAGATCGAACATCCAGGGTAGCATACGGTTAAAGCTGTGGCTTTCCACCCGCGAGGACCATGGTCAGCCAATCACGCAAAACAATTTTGACAACTGGACCGACGTACGTCGCCATGAAAGACTGTTGACCATATTCGCCGATTACGAAATGTCACTGACAAAGTCCGTGAGTACCTATACCTAGATAAGTATTGTAATAATTTTTGATGAGAGGGTTCGTTACCGTATCATAAACGTTAATAGCGTTTGAGATTTAATGGGTCTATAACCCCGGATACTTTATACATCAGGGGTGGCGAACCTGTCTTGGGTCAAGTGCAAAATTTTCCAGTCGAAGTTTTTAAAATCGATCACATGCCCAAAGGAAATTATATTTACTAAGAATAAAAATTAAATTACAAATACATTACTTGATCTTTATTAGGTAGATATAGTTTTTTTTTTTTTTTTGATTTCACCAATGACGTTTTATTAAATATCCTTAAGTTTGTTGTTATGTATTTGATTATTTTATGCTGTTTCTTAGCGGATAAGGTTTTGATGTCAGCAGTGTAGTTTGTTATTTTTAGCGAAACACAACCAACAATTGTCCCATCGATCATTTCTTTTCTTAGATCCAATTGAATTTTTCATGGAAAATAAACTTTTACATGACTAATTTGACAAACTTTTTTTTTCCATTTATAAAAACACTCTCAAATATTATGTAATAATAATTGCTCGAATCGTGTACCTAAGCGTTTATGTGGTACAATTCGTTTTCCGCGTATCGCTTCGTTTTCGCTCTGCCCGAAACGGATCGAAATAATTTACTAACCAATATCAAAACTATAATCGTTTGTTACACATTACGTATTGCATCGTTGCAGAGCCTGTGGAACGGCGAGCTATGTCACGAGGCCACGAGCATACTGCACCAGCACGCGGTTCAAAGCGGCGTATCCGAGCTTCAGTTGGCCGTCATAAGGTGGCTAGCGTACAGCCACATACCGTCCATAGACCCGCAGTTCCTGTTGAAGCAACTGTCTCAGCTGGAAGCGGCCTGGGGAGAGCAGACGTTGACCGGCGAAGAGGTCAGTCGACGAACGAATATGAAATGTGTTTACAATATCATTTCGGCTGTGGAAAACCGCAGTGTCGCGCCCCCGTAATCGCATACGCTTATAACGTATCTTCGATTCGCTCCATACGTACAGGTTTTATTGTTAAACGTTAGCGGTTTTTTTGTTTTTTTTCCCCATTTTTTTCTTTAACCTTATTTTTTTTCGAATTTCCCATCGAAACGACCGTTAAAGGTGTTTAACGATATCATTTTTCATTCGAAAGGGCAAGGAGGTGTAGCACTTGCTTCTCTAAGTTGTGAATCATCCCGTGTACGGATTTCGCTCCCAATGGAGTTGGTCTAGTCGCGGACCGTAGGTCCATTAAAACCACAAGGTTAAACAAACGTCGTTTGAACAACGACAAAGAAGAAAACTTTCTTTTTTTTAAAAAAAAAAACATTTTAATTCGTAATGAACTTTATCCACTTACACAATGTCGAATATTGAGCAAAATGTTTGTTTTTATTAGTGTTCAACGTTTTAAAAAAAAACAGTAAAACAAATTTTATATTCTGTACATTTTTATTGCGTTATCAAACTCAAATAAACTTTTAATGCCTACATAAATATTAAAAAAATAAACTCTTGGTTCGATAAAACTCCGTAATAGTGCAGTTGGATAAGAATTTTAAACTGAGATTATTTCAAAATAAGTATAAAACTAACAGAATTTTAATTCTTTTTAATGTTTATATTATGACAAAACTACTATATCGTCGGACTGTAAAAACAAAATGAAAAAATGCGTCAATGAAAATTGATTTTGAATATAAATGCAACGTGTTGTGTGAATCACTTTTCATATATATTATTGTATCAAATAAGTTAGCTCTAATGAAACAAATAGTATTCAATAGCAATTTGATAATACATTCTTATTAATATCGTGTATAATAGAGTGTTCAATTTTAACGTTTTAATAAATTTAAAAAGCAACGAATAATCCGATCACCTGTACGTACTTACGGTTCCTACGAATATTTCGATGAAACGCTAAACAAGATAGTTTTATTGATATTTTAATGAATGATTCTATTGTTACTAACATAGAAACATAACTTTTCAGGAGGATTGGCTGGCTGATTCTTTCAACGTTTTCCTAGACTATTCATTGCAATTGATCCGAAAGTACCGCAAACTATTTCCGCCACATCATCACGTGTCGATGAACCGGTTGGAGTACATACTTAGGTGAAAACTTTGAACATTTATATTCGATAACGGACAGTCGAACTTAGGCCACGGACCGGTTTTGTGTTACCCATAGGTGGCATAATAGTTAAACGTGCGCCCTTCGAATTTTAATAACCCTCCGCCCTTCTTGGTCTAGGTTGGCCCTCAGTGTCTTCCACGGGGATATGATGGTTCACGTTAATCTCACGTTTTACTTATCAAATTCGTTATAGATGCTTGAGCCGGTTGTCGCTGTCGAAAGCGTACGGAAAATGCTGTCCTTTCAACAAAGACATTCGCGGCGAGATCGGCAACGCACTCAGAGTCGGCACGCACGAATGGTACGAGGAGAACAAAAAATTCACGGCCACCGGGCAACACGATTCAGAAACCCGACTCAAAGGGTTCGTGAGATTGGTTACTGCCGTTCTGATCGATTTGCAAAAAGGAGTGGAACACTACAACGTATTATTCGAAAAGTAATTTTTTTTTTTTTTTCACGTAATAGTAATAATTAATTGCTATCGTGGTGAATCGAGGATAATCAGTAGTGGGTGTGCTCTCAACACCAGTTCAATATCACATCGGTTTAGTGCAAAATTAACCGATGACGTTTCATCGGTAACCACACGGTAGCCATTTCGGTTGTGTTGACACGTTACTTGAGTTTAACTGAACAAGCATCTGTTGAACAATATGATTTCTATATTTTTATTCAGTTTTTTTTTTTCAGTATAAACGGCGTGTTTTATTACGCGGCCATCTACAAACAACACGAAAAACTGGTGAGTACACGTTTACGGTAAACATTTTTCTCTAAAAAAAAAAGTTCTAATGACTGTATTAAGCCAATCGATAATTCAGTTAGCAGTAACAAATAACATTGTATTTTCTCAGTTGGCAAAGGGATTTTCAAATCATTTGGACATAATCATGGAGGTACAGAGTATGACACGACCCCGTAAATGAATATTAGCGCCCTCGCAGTAGTATTCTCAGCGCTACTTAATTCGTTGCCAATAAATGTGTTTAGCTATACATGTATACATATATATATATATATATATATATATGTGTGTATGTATATATACCAGTATATTATGTTTGTTAGATAAGTGTTTCAATGCTTTACCCAATGAACATTTTGTACCACTCAATACAATATAGAGAGGGGTTTTGTTTTTTAATATATTGTTCATAGATTTTAGTTTGGAAACATTATACATTATCATATTGCGCATAGCTGTTTGTGAAATTATATATCGTTATTAATGTTATTATTGTTATAGAGTAATATTATGATGTAGTATTGAGATTGATTTTTTTTTTGTATTTGATACGTTCGTTGTTATTCGTTTCATCAATCAGACGTACTTATGATTTCAGTTGTCAAATGATCTGAGCCAAGAAATAGCACCCATCTGCAAAAAAGTGAAAGGAGCTGATTTCGGGATGGACACTCCGCTGTCTCCGACCAACTCGGAAACCGGAGAATCATTGTTTGAACTCTATCTAGCCGTTCAGGAGTTTATCAGGTCAGTTTGGGGTCGTTTTATGAGGCATGAAATATTAGTGCATAATAGCTGATAGTTACAATCACTGAGGCGCTATATTACAAGTATCTGACACTCAAATTCAACGACTATGTTCACAGATACCGCGAACACCTTAACGCATCCGACTACAAAGGCTTGTCGACCCAGTGCTACTACCATTGGTTCGAACCGGCTTTGGAAAAGTGGCTGGATCTGGCCAAGTTGAAAATCGTTCAACGAGCGAAGAAAGCTTTGGAGTTGAGTACGATCTGTCACGGCGAGATGACCGTCAAACACTCGACGTCCAGCAACGATGTGGCCACCGCGCTGTGTCACGTGAGTATAATGTTGTAAAACGACAATAACCGTAGAAACCATAGACAACAGTGTAACGATAACCCAAGTGGTCGAACTGATATAAGACACTGATGCACCTTTTAAACGTCGTCTTATCCCTTTTGTGTTTGTACAGATGAAAGAGTTCTGGAAACATCTCGCCTGGCCGGATCTAATACAATCTTACAACTTCGTACTGAAACTTTTAGACGTAAGCCGTTTCGTTCAAATACGTTTTTACATTTAGGAAAAATTATATATATAAAAAAAAAAAAATTAACACTTACGTTTTACAGGCTATGTGTGAAGCGGTCTTGTTTTACGCTCAATTGGTCCACCAGAGATTAAAGGATTCCGGGTTTTACGAAGATGTGTCACCATTCAAAGCATCCGACGAAGTAATATGTTGATCATAATATTATGTAGGACGAGACAAACGCGTGTTGTTCCGCACGAGCAATAGGAAAAATATTCATAACATAATTATAAGGATTTATATGAAAAGAAAATTAAGAAAGGAGGAAGGAAGGTTATACAGGGGTTGATACTGGATGAGATACACGTACCTTTTTTTTTCGAATAACAGTTCAAAGCGAAGGAGAACGGATCAGCCTCTATGTTTGAATATGGTTACTGCTACTTTATTAGTTCATAATAATTTTTTTATCATTTCGTTAAACCAAATGTTGTAACAGAAACGAACAGCGTATAAGTACATAACTATATAGACTTTGTTGGACTTGGATTTAATCAAGTTAATTTTAATAGTTAAAATTATTTTTATAGTTTATATACAACATAATGTTAATACGAGTATCCAGTTTATATTTCAAATACAAAAAATAAATAAAATAATATTATAAAATTAATATTTTTAGGCAACAAAACAACTAATACGGTTAAATTGATATTCGTAAAAATATTCGGATATTTGAACACATTTCGTTGCACACCTGATATATATTACCATTTATACTCAAATATCTAACAGTTTTTAACACACGTCAGATCGATAGTATGATTGATTACGAAGTACTATGAATTGTTTACCAGCAAAACAATACATTTTCTACTCAAATGTTGTACTTTTACTAATTTTTTTTTTCTCTACGCGTAGGTTTGCGCAGCGCTGAACGACTTAGAATACGTTTGGCGAACCGTGGCCTCGATGCCCGACGATTTACACTTGGAAACCGTCGTGTCCGCGGTGGAAGCCACTGGTGAGGCTACGGCTGACCAGTGCCGGGCTGATGTCACGTCGTTACTGGATCCCGTGTTCAACCAATACGACACGTACTCGATGATGATCGTCGGCCGGATCGCCATTAGGGTGGGACATCTTTCGTTTTCATCGTACAGTAGAAATCCTAGAATCTCTCTTCCGCCCGCTACACCTTTAATAAAAAACGTGCTCGTTTCACGAACGTTTTCCAGTTTAAAAAGCCATCGTTAGCCTCACCCCGTTCGATACGAGATAATGATTTTTTTTTTTTTAAATCCTCGTTGAACCCGTTGAATCCAATTTTATCGTAGCTCGTGTTAAAAACTTCTGTTCTGTCCCGATGTACAGATGCAAGCGCCGCTGAAGAAGTGTATCTTCCACTTGGCGTGGTCGCCGGATACACTGCCCACGACCGACGCCATCGTACCGCTCCAGGAGTACCTGGACAGTCATCTGATCACGCTCAACACGAACCTGTTGCCGAAAAACTTCCACAAGGTGTTGAACGGCGTGTGGGAGGTGACCGTGTACGAGCTGGGACATCAAATGGATGGTGGCAGCGGCGACACGAAGATGTCCGGGTTCTACGAGCGGCTGTACGAGGCTCTGGAACTGTTGGTGGAGTTCTTCCACGCCGAGGGCAATGGGTTGCCGCCGGAAGTGTTGACCGGAAGTGAGTGGCGGTGACGTTGGTTACACGTCACAAATTATCCGTGTACTGTTTATTCGTACTAAACGCTGTTACCGTGTTCGCAGACGTGTACAGAGCTGTGAAGCAAAGGCTCAAGCTTCACAAGACCGACACGGACACGCTGATCGAGCTATACTACGAGGACCGGCTGATGGAACAACAGCGGACCAAGGAGATCACGTACGGCGTGCTCTCGGTGCGGGCGTATTACCAACACGATTCCCTGTGCGTAGAGGTGCTGAAAGCCCAAAACGTCATACCGCTGGATCCGAACGGTAAACTGGCCGCTTTATACCGGCGAAACAGTGTAGTATAATAATAAATAACCGACAAATGTGTTCCCGAGAAATTCGTAGGGTTAGCCGCTGAAAAGCAATCGTTAAAACGGACATGAAATTCAACAATCGCATACCGACTATGCGTGTATTTGTATTCGTAAGGTGTGCTCGAATCGAATGTACAGTTTTTCAGTAAAATTTTCGGTGAAATATTTCGACGATTTAAACGTTCTTCAAAAATCACCAATCGAGAGAATCGGTATTTATTTTAACGTTACGTTATTACCCAGCGTAAGTTCCAAGTAAAAACACAGCGTAACGTTGATTTTTTTTTCATTATTTTTTATCCTACAATCCGATCATTGAAAATGACGCAAACGCATGATTTGATAAATTTGTTATTTGATGAACAACATTGCGTGTATTATTATAATACCAATAGGTCGGATAGCGGACGGGTAGAAAAAAAAACACTCAACCAATAAACACTTGTGCGTCTGCGTTCGCATAGCAATGTAGTGCTACTAAAATCTGACACTACCTCGTCGACCGTACATTCTGAGCACACTCGACGTTTATGTCGACTAGTGGTGACGCGAAATGGTTGTATTCGAATTACTTGAACTATCGGAAATGGATGGTATTTATAAAAAAAAAGCCAAGATATTAATCGTCGATCTGTATCTTCTGTAAAAGTACTCTGTCCGCGATCTGCGGTAATGCGACTGTGCTACACGCGTCCGGTAAACACGATCATTAACGGAATTGTACGTATTATACTACGGCGTGGCCGTTTAAAATCGTCTAGGTCAGTGGTTCTCAAACTTTTATGTTCACGGAGCCCCGAAAATCAGAAATTAATATTTGACACAAAAATAATTATCAATATTTCATATTGAGAAAAACAAACAGTTTAAAATTTAATTTTTTTTTAGAAGTTCGAATTTTGTCATTTGCTATGAAATATATGGTAATTTTACGTTGTATCGATACATTTACTTCATTTAATTTTGTGAAAATACCAGCCAAGTAACCAATTTAGAATAACCAAATTGTATCATAAGTCTAAAATACAATTAAGACATAAAGTTTAAAATTAAATAGGTGTCACTAAAATGTATAACTCGTCGCAGTTCAGGTAATCCAGTGTTTTTCCTCGATAACAATAAAATCTAATAATATTTAAATGTACAACTCTAGCCTAACCCTTGGACTCGCGGAGCACAGTTTGAGAACCGCTGGTCTCTAGGGTCGAGTAGCGATTTTGGTGGGTGGGTGGGTGGACGGGTGAACCTTCGACGTCGGTGATTCGAATAAAAAAAAAAATTCAAAAATAAAACTTTTCGCCGCCACCGGTGTTGACCGTGTTACGTTTTCGCGATGCAGGTTTCAGCGATCCGTTCGTCATCGTCGAGCTGCTGCCCAAGTCCATGTTCCCGTACAGCGCGGAGCAGTATACCGACGTGAAGAAGAAAACCCTGAACCCGTTGTTCGACGAGTGTTTCGAATTGTAAGTACCTTTACCGCCCGTACACAGCCGCGGACAACTGTCGGAAGTGCATCCCTCTAAACGCGTCTCGCTTGTCCCGTTCCCCCTTTTTTTGTTACAGCGCCGTTTCGATGGACCAGTGCCGTCACGAGTCCGCCATGATACTGTTCACCGTCATGGACCACGACGTGATAACGTCCAACGATTTCGCCGGCGAGGCGTTTCTTTCGCTCAACTCCATACCGGGCGTCCTCACGCCGTTGCCGCACGACATCAACAACATCGACCGAGTAGATCTGATTCTCATGCACCAACAGAACAAAGGTGGGTAGAAAAAAGAAAAAATAATACCCCGCATCAAAATCACTACCCTACGCGAGCGGGTGAAATAAAAACAACGGTTGCCAACGATCCCTTTTTAATCTCCAACGGAAATGGTTCGATCGCGAAATTTACGGTAACGAAACGTGAGTTCTTAACCATATCTTGATCCAGAATCTTATTAGATATAAACAAATATTCACGGACCCCTATTGTGTAAAACAAAGTTTTTTGTTTAAATTTATTTCGCTCATCTATTTAAAACAAATATTTATTTTTCCAAATTATTATCACGAGAAACATTATGATTAGTAGAACTAATCAAAGATTCTCGCGAATTTTGTAACCATCATAATTAAAGAAATTTAAACGCGAGTATCTAAAATTCAACTACTAATACATTCGTGGATCTTTAGTTGAAACATCTCGTATTACACATTAGGTTTGTGTTGCACTGACCGAATCGCCTAGACCAAAACGCAATTTCGAAATCAACCCGAAATGGGGTACGAATAAAAACACACACCACTGGTTCATAATATCGTTCGACTGTCGCTAAAACATTGCAACCGATTGAAATCGTTTAACGTTCGTTGTTCACCCTGACGATAATCGTATCGCTCATCAGCTGGAGTGGCGCTTATCCGTTTACAATAGGTTAACTTAATCAATTACCCGTAACGCGTTTGTTTTAAAAAACGTCCGATTTCAATCAGTGTTATTAGCACTCCTCGCTGATAGAAAAATCAATAGCAGTCACTGCTTGAGCCATTCCATGTCTGCGATAATGCTACTAAGACTCCGTTACGCGTTTCGCCGTGCTGAGATGTTGATCAAAACATTAACCACGTGCTCAGCGATACAATGTTTACGCAATTTTCGTGCGATATAATAATAGCCAATAGTAGTCGCAATACCCATTGTTATGAAGTACCGCGTGGCGCGCTAAAAAAAAAAAAAAAATAAAAAATACGAGCGGAAAATCCGTCGACAATCGACAATGATCTCGAATCCATCGAATGTTCTACGATTATTGTTCAAATCAACTTCCGAACCAAGTTGTTAGGTGTCAGCATTCCTACGGTCGTGATGACCGCAACCGCAACAATTTTTTCCGTACATCTTTATCGCGAACATACTCTGTACGTCCGCGGCTCTCCGTGCACGGACAAACGTTTAGTACAATGCGACAACTTAACAACGGTATCGGTTTTCACTTTAAGGTGCTTGGTCTTCGGTTACTACGACTGCGCACGGTTTAATTTTGGCTAGTGCTGTTTTCCATTACGTTCGCCGAACAAATGATAGCTTACCGATAAACACTAACAAAACACATAAAGCCGAATATCGGGGAATTAATTTTTGTTTTCCTATTCCATCAAATCTGTTACGTCTTCTGGACCCAAAGAATTTCTTTTCGTACGCGCGACTCTTGACAGTGTGCAACCGTAGTCGTGTTGTACTCCGGTTATTTGAAAACCATGCCGTGTGTTCCCGAGAATTGGCCGAGGTTTGTCTTTTGTACGTTTATTATGTATTTTATGGGCAGTAAAAAAAAAACCCCACAGCAAAAAAACGTTTCCGTATATATTGACAATCTTCCAAACGCGACCACCGTACCGTTACGGGCATTCGACCAGAATCACCCACGCACTCGTTTTTACGCGGCGTATTATTTCTACGTATAAGGTCAAAAATAAATGACCTAGCTGAACTTTTTTTATGTATATATATATATATATCAAATTCGAATGCGTAGTTAAAATATAAACTTGATTAAACATGAAGTTTCGAAATCTCGTACCGGTTAAATTGTCCGTGATCCACTCTTGGTTGTTTTACAACCGTTATGATAATATCACGCGGTCGGCATGCGACGGTTTAGAATTAATACTTTTCGCGTAAAATCAAAAGGCCATTGCGGTGGCGCCCTGCGACTCGAATCTCGTTAAAATGCTACGCTGACCTTTTCTTCTGCTCCGACCCACGGAGTGTTAAGTGTGTGTCACCAGGTTTACTAACTCACGACTAACGCGTCACGTTGTTGTTGCTTTACTTGCCCGTCATACGCACAGGTCATCCGATACTGCAGACACTGGAGGCCAGGCACGAGGACAAGGTGGCTCAGGACTTCGTGAAGAAACAAAGGGTCCGCACCACCAACTCTTGAAACCTGCAATGTCATACCGTGACGGCGCTTACAGGGTGTTGCGTCTCCGGTCTCAGCGACTCGTCTGAGCCTTGACCGTCGACATCGTCGACAAGCGTGCGACTGCGTACAACCGGCGGTGGGCGTTCGAAGTCGATGCCGAAATCCGACGAGAAGAAAATTTAAACAAACATTTTACTCGAAACAAAATAAAAAAAATACTATTTTTAAATACTATTACAAAAAAATAAATAATTTACGACTGGTACAACGGACGTGATCAAAATTTAATGGAATCCCCGATAATTTCACGAATTAATGTTGATTTCGTTCACTAGATTATTTTACAGTATAATAATATTAGAATATACACACTAATATTAATTATATAAAATTGTACATTCTTAATTTTTATTCTTATATAAATATAATAGCGTAAGAATATATTATATGTAAATATCACAGGTCGTTACAATCACATATAAAATACGATTCGTACCTATCTACAGTGCCGGCAGTAGAGTCACTGGCGTCCTGGGTGAATATAAAAATATGCGCCCATCCCCGTGTAATTATACTAGAAGTTTTATTTTAAAATCGTTATCCGATTCTATTAATATCTGAATTATAAAAAAATAGCGATTGCGAACGGCGACTGACAATAGCAAATAATTTATTATCTACGGACTAAATTATTATATACCCATCGTAATAAAAAATTGTCAATAGAACGGACAGAATATTAGAATTACATTCCTATCATTTTCTTTCAGTTTGAACATTATGCCATCGATACGTCCCCCTTTCGACGAGCGTTCTGGACGTAGGCCCAGGTCAGCCACCCCTAACGCCGGCCCTGACTATCTATACCATATTTTATATACCCACACGTTTTGTAATATTACATACGACCTCCCATTCCGCTATGCAATACACTGCAAACCACTATTGTATGCTCTTCGGAAATAATAATTTATTCTTTATTTCACAAGCCACGCGTGCACACAAAAATATAATGTTATATACATAAATATAATGTTTATTACGATATTTTAGACATTTTTTTTTTTTATGATTACTAAAAAGACAATCTATATCAAGTGGTTTCTTCATTATATTGTTCGTGTGTCGAAGAGGTACACAGCAATGATAATATTGTTAACTCGACCACCGTAGTATTGTTATGTTATTTTAAATACTATTAATATGATATAAATAGTATAATGCTTAGTTCATATTTTAGCCACCCCTGAACTTACAAAATACATATATATATATATATATATATTCGGGTTCATTTTTCTAATTTGTATAATAATATAATATAGAAATATTATATACTTTTAGTACTGTATAATTCAAACCACAGAAAATTATATGTAAAAGAATACATTTTAATTTCTACACGAAGAACTCTATATTGATATTAATATTATTATTATTATTATTATTATTATTATTATTATTATTATTATTGTATAACTATACTATATGGTAATTATATTCAACAGTGTAAAATTGTAATTTATTCTTATTATTATTATCATTACTATCATCATCATCATTACTAAAAATGCTGTATTTACTAATTTTAAATGTACAACGACCAATTTTAATATTACCTTAATACAGCTACTAAACATTCATGCATAAAACATAATTTCGATGTTATATACAAAATAACATAATTATTACGATATAACATATTATATACATACATTTAGAATAATATGTTGTTTCAAGTTTTAATTTGTTTTTGTTACCGCGTACGGTTAATAATATAAAATACAATACCTATGTATATTATTTACTAACGTTAATATAATATGTATTTCAATGTTTTGATGTAATACATTTTTCGTGATTATCTGTACAATGAAATAAAGGATAACAGCGTTGAAATATAATAATATAAATATATATATATATATATATCTACACTGATCTCTTAATGTACTACGTCTTATTGTTATTATCATCATCATTATGTTTATATAATGAACGTCAACAATAAATCACTACATTACATCGAAAACATTTTATATGATAAAGTCTAATTATAATTTTTTGAATCACGCGTTTTTATTTTTTTTTTTTTTTTTTTTGTTCTTTTTATCATATTTTACACCTTATACACTTTTCTTAAAATATTATAACTTCAGTTTATTACATCAGCGCTCGAGTAATTTTAAGCTTTAGAATACTTTGACCGAAATAATTTTTGAACCATAGTGGATAAATGGTAGATATAAAAATAATATGTCGTTAATCGGCAATCAGTTATTTTTTTGAATGGATCGTTCTTTTTTTCAACAATAAATAATATACTATTATTAAACCGACGGAATGTAATATAAAATTCACTATTTAGAATTACAGTTTGGAATGAAACAGATAAATTACAAAAATACGTTAAATCAAAAACGACAATACTATAGTACGTTTATTTATTCTAATAGTAATTACATATACATGTACACATGAATATTATTAAAATTGTTCACTAAGTTAAAACTATTCAATTATTAAAACATATATTTAAAACGTACACGTGTAAATATGATAATTATTATGATTTAAAAAAAAAATTCTTAAAAAATAACATAGGGACTTAATATTTGTATAAAATCGTATAAAAATACAAATATGTATATGTGTATGTATACAGGTAAGTAAATATTATGTTTGAATAAAAAAAAATAAATAAATAAAAAAAATGTATCATGAACACGGGATCGATACAATAATAACAATATTAATAGTATTACCCCTTACTGGTTTGAAATACTGTCAATGCACTGATATTTTGTGATTCGATGTACAAGAGACGATCGACAGGCGTCGAACAATGACTCGGAAAATGATCATTACACATTCGATGGAAACGTTTAATAATTTATTATACATCGTGTATCCGTTTAACAAGATAAAATAGCATTACGATAGACCATTGTGACTGGGCGAACTGGCCGCGACTAAACAATAGTGTTCTAAAATTAAACAGTATAATAATAATAATATATTTATATAGGTACACGACGTTGTAAAATATTATAAAACCACGAGGGATGACAACGATAGCGCAATAGTATCGTTTAAATCACGATTCAATTCGACACGTTGTATAACAGTAATACGGTTGCGATGTGCTGTATGAAGCATGTACATAGAGGACCGTCGAACATTATGTTTGCGTTGCGTGATTATTTTTTTCTCGCGGTAACTTCGAACGGGAATGGAAGTCCGGTGGTGAGCTGAAAGCGCGTGTTAAATAAAAAAAATTCAAAACCGATTTTACAATCCAAATAGAAAATAATGATAACCGATAAGACCCCAAGGACCCGGGGATCGTTGTCGGGTGAGATTCGTCCCGCGAATGGACGCGCACGCGTACACCTAACAACGATGTGCGTAACGCGAAATAATATATTCACCGCGGTATCCGTATAGGGAGCGACGTTGGGCGTTGGACGGACGTGTGTTTTTGTTAAGATGATCGGATTGAATCGTGAATCAAGCGTCTATGATACTGTGTCGGTAATGGGGGGAGGGACTATTTACAATGAAAAAAAAAAAAAAAAATTATAATAATAGCTTCGATCGCACGAGCACACTCGGAACGATTATGATGATGATGATGGTGATGATGATGATGATGACGTTGATGACGGCAATGATCAATGTAACCGCCCCGTGTATGCCGAGGAACCGGTGAACGATACGGGGAACTTGGACGACTGGCCGCCGCAGTTCAGCCGACCGCCGAACGAGTCCTGTTGCGTCCTGTACTTGGACCCGATGGCCGCCTGCAGCCGGGACGTCAGGTAGCACAGGATCATGGCGGCCACGAACAGCAGACACCCGAGGATGCCGGACAGCGCCAGGAACGTGCCGCAGTTGTTCTCCGACGTCACCGGACTACCGTGGTATATGTCCTCGGGCATGATCACCGTGTACTCGATGTTCTCCTTGAACTTCGCGAAGTTCGTCGCGTTCAACGACTTGTCCGCTGCGTCCGCGGCCACGGTCGATAGCAGCGCCGTGCTGTTGGTGTTCACGTGCCTCTTGCGCCGACGCCCGTGCCCGGACGGTTCGAACAGATCCAAGCAGTATTCCTAAAAGTCGACCACGAATTGAATTATATACGGTTTTTACGCGTGCGAAATGAAAACAAAATATATATTATTAAAAAGTAACAATAATATTATGGCGATAAAACCATTTTTTTCTGGTAAACGTAACGGTTCATGACTGTCATCGGCATCAATGTTTTTATTGATTATGCTCAGAAACAATACGAGAAATAAAGCCAAAGTGTAATAAACGCGGCGATTTCATCGTATAAACATATTAAGTTCTCCGATTCACACGGTGTCCCACGAAGACAATTTATTCAATACAATATCTTCTGGGTCGATGAAGACAGTCAAACACAAGGATAAGGGTTACAAATATTTATTTCCCAATCGAATTTTTATACTATAGGTAAAAACAAATTTTAAAAAATTTTCTAATTGTTTTTGAAGAAAGCTATTTTATATGACATATTTAATTTTTGAACATTTTGTCATTTTAACTTTTATATTTATTGACCCCATAATTTTTAATGTTTCTTTTTTAGAAATTGTAGAAAGATAAAACATAATAGTACTTGAAGTAACCCAGTGCAATTTTTACTATCTCCTCTCTTACTCTCATCCCCTTACCTCTCTGTAGATAATCGTTATTCACTTATCAACAGTACCTCTGTTACCATACAATCAATAAAAATCTTTTTATCGACTCTTAATCCCCTCCTATCATCTTCTTCTGCTTCATTGGCATTTACAAATCTGTTAGAGTATTTGCCACCATCACTATGTCCCTCCATCTCTATCGATCTTGAATAATTTCCTTCCATTTTTGAACTGACACACTTTTAAAATCCTCTTCTACTACGCCTGACTATCTCTTCTTCGGTCTGTCTCGAAGTCTCTTTCTTTCCGGTTTCCATTTTATAACTGCTCTGGTGGTTTATTCTTCGCTTTTTGTCATGATATGACTAAACCACTATAATAATTATCCATTTATGTAGGTAGTGATTGGTACTAGGCCCAGTTTTTCCTAAAGTTCCTTATTGAACTTTCTTCTTCACCAATTGATCCTTGTGTCACGAACTGATCCCTATATTTCATAATATTTTACTCTTATTTATTCTATTTCTTTCCATCTTATATCATGTAATGCTGTCCCTTAACTTTCTCCTGTACAGTCTAACTAAATTCCAAGTCGCAACCTTAAAATCAACCTTCTGATTTCCGTGTCCAAAATTATAACCGTTTCATTATGGCCGAGGCATATATTGTGATGGTAACATAACAATAAGTTTTTTCTTATACAAGGTTGTCAGCCTTGTGTTTAGCCCATAATCTGAAGGACCCTCGTATCATATTCTCTAGAATTTCCTTTATCCTCAGTTCTGGCTCCCTTTTCTAAATTTAAATTTATGATTCACTCATACTCTCCAATCAGCATTAAACCATACATACAGATGATGACTGGAAGAGTACTGCGGTTTTGTCGGCATAGGTCCCGATAAGAGTGGAGTTAGAACTAGGGATATCTGCTGTAAATAGTATAAATAGAAAAAGAGCGGTGTCGCTTCGTTGCGGGACACCGTCTGAGATTAATCGTGAACCGGATAGTGTTGTTTCACTTCAAACTTCCGTCGTTTAGATAGGATTTGAGAAGTAATATGGAGCCGGAAAAACATTTCTGAATTCTAATAGTAACCCGTCATACCGTACGGTATCAAATGCTTACGCTACGTCTAAGAAGATACCGGAACAGGATTTTTTTCTCGTTTCGAGTGACGAGGCGATTTAGTCTACTACTCTGCGTAGTTGACGGAACGTTGCGCGTGAAATCGCGAATCTCCTTGTGCACGCGTGATGTACTCGAACGAGAGGAATGCAATACCGTCATTACTGTTGTAACGGTACGTTTACGCGCACCTAACCGTTTGCTTCGTGAGAGATATGTGTGCGCGCCGACGACTGCGTTTCCGGTACGCGAAACGACGGTTTTCACGGGAAATCCGCTGACCACGTTCAATACGCCAGGGACGGCTTCAGGAATTCGGCGGCGGCGGTGGTGTCCTGTGTCGGGGATTCCGACTGGAATAATTTCAACGGGTCCGAGAATGTAAATCGTAGCCGCACGGCGTGGTCTAGGCCAAAATAGCGAAATAATCAACCGCAAATATGAAAATTGCGAATTGATGATAACGATCATGCATAATAGTGAAACTGCAGTTTTCTATTTTGAATACTATACATTTTAATATAGTACTTGAATATGTTTCAAATTTTATAAAACTTACTTATTTGATTGATAATTAGTATTTTTAATAATATAATAAATATTCTTTAGAGAAAGCCACCGTACTATATGGAAATGTAATGATGTAATAGAGAAATTTCGAAATTTAGAAGAATTAAAACGAGAACATTAAAAAATCTAAAGAACAACCATAGATAAAAGTTCAAGGATTGTACTAAAAGACTTAATTTGTTAATTACAAATTATAATACTAATGATAATAATAAATTTGTAAATGGTATAGCATGTAATTTTTCACTAAATGCCTAATTGTATATTTTTGCTCTTTTTTTAAAATACACTGTTTTTATTTTTGCCATTATTAATTTGCGATTTTTACATTCGTGGTTATTGTTTAACTATTTTGGCGGCTGGATACCATGTGATGTGTGTAGAAAATAATAGCTGGGGAAAAATTAATATTGAAAAAAAATAAAACAAGATGATCGGTTGAAAAGTGTTTTTTCTTTTTCGACGAGGTAAAACGCCGACGACGCAATACCGCCGGTTCCTCAGAATCACGGTGATGGCGAATCGTGTGGCCCAACCTGCGCCCCAGATGGTTTACCTCGTGCTACATACATTAAATATGTACTGCATACAGTGGCGCAACTAGGAGTGAGGTTTGGAGGTTGTAACTCCCCCCTCATATTTTTCTAAGATTTTTACAAAATCTACGTAGGAAATTTTTTTTTTTATCTTGAACACGCGAAACGGCTGATTGATATTTCATATATGAATATTATTCGTATTATAATTAACAATAATAACATGACAATATGGAACGATTTGTAATGTTATGTATGTAAATGTTTCTTTCAACTCTAAAACATCAATAACTACTACGATTTCTTGATAGTCGATTGTATAATGCTTTATTTTGTGGTATCACAATATGAAATAGAAGTTGAACAGTTTATTTTATTTTATTTATTTTATATTAATAAATATTAATAAAACTTAATATTAATAAAACATTTTTTGAAAGGGCATTTTATTAATATTTTTAGGGCATGAATGCATTTTTTTTATATTATTATGGCATTTATATCCGAGCTCTAATAATAACAGTAACAAGCACAAAAAAAAGATCAATAAATTGTTTGTGAGGTCGCGCAATATTATAAGAGGCTGGCTCAAGTTCTTTGCGTTCATTCCAGAAAATATCTATTCCTCTGTTCCTATACATACCCAACCGACCAACATTGGTGTTACTGAAATCGACTTTTAAAAAATCCGCTGTCTTCGTCGATAAACGTTAAACACGGTACGTGTAGTGATCAGAATTTACAACACCAATCAGGTCCACGGTAAAACAACGGTAACCACCACGGGTTTGGTTATAGGTAACTCACCGGTTGACAGTCGTTGGCGTCCATGCACGCTTTTATCTGCGAGTGAATCCATAACGTCGACCGTTCTTTCATTGTGCTCAGCAAGAACGCCTCAAAGTCCAAAAATACTTCGTTGTGCCGCTCCCGGTACTTGGCCGGCTGATGCGGGATAATTGTCGCAAAATCTCGGTTTCGGCATCTGGTACGGAATAAAGATGAAATAATAATAAAAAAAAAAAAAAAAAAAAAAAAAAAAAAAAAAAA